GGCTGTTTGTGTCTGGAAGTGACAGCGGAAGCAGCTGTCGGTGTCCGGTTTTAGGGCTTGAAACTCCCCGCTCGGGCTCTGGTTACTTACAAGGAAATGACCCTGCGTGAGGCATGAACGTGCTGCAGGCTTCGGCCTCGCCGCCCTGTAACGCCCGGGCCGTTGCCGTTTATGACTTGGCAGCAAATCTTTGTGCGGTGCGAGGCTTCCTACGTGCTCACGCATTTTTATTTCAAAACGGCAGGCCTGTGCGCTGGGCTCTCGGGGTGTGCCTGATAAGGAAAACAACACTTATCTGTGTTGTGCAACTGCAGTACAGATTTAGCCTTGTAGATTAACTCATCCTTCTTTTAAACGAACTTTGGGATTATTTTTGTCACTTTCACAGTATACTGGTGGTCCAAATAATCTTAATTTTCCTGTAATTGAGTATTCACTCTGTGTGTCTCAACTGTATCCGTGTAATTTGCAGTACTTAAACTCCTGGATTTTTGGTCTCAGGCATCATATGGAGGTTGATATTTCTAAGCAGATGTTTTTGTTCGTGTTTTCTTGTTTGCCTTAACTAAAACCGGCAGTTGCCAAATACGTACAAGCTCAGTGTGGCTGGCTGTTGCAATGTTCTACTTAACAAGCTCTTATCAAGGGACTAAAATACAAAGTAATATGCAAACACTTTATGGAAATCATTGGGTTTCATTACATCTGAGTATTTTCTATCAGGAACCCCCTGACTTCTGGAGGACTACTGTAATGATAGTAGAATAGAACCAAAATAAAACCTATACAAAGCTATTGGCAATATCTCTTCTTTCTTTCTTTTGTTTGGTTTTTTTTTTTTTTTTTGGCTTTTTCTTTTTGACTGGGAATTCAGTGTTCTTGTTGAGCCATGCGGTACGTAAACAGTGTGAGGCCCTGGCTAGGATGTTTCAGAGTAACTGTAGCATACAGTAAGACATAGACTGGTGTTTTTAGTCTTATTAACATTCAGTGCTGTATCTTATGGGAACTGTTGAATGCCACATGTATTTCTGGGTGCTTGTTCATAGAACTCCTGTTTTCTTGTGTTCAGTTTTGTTAGCCATATGGAATTCTAAAATCTCCTTTAGAAAAACTGATAGGAAAAGAGGAGGGAACGCTGAAGATGTAGTGTAATGCTTTTGCAAAGGCTTACGTGGTGGTGGTAAATATGAAAGAATGGGACTGTGGCCTAAGAAGTGCCTCTTGATCCACAAAAGCTGTTTTGGGTCTCGGGACCATCTTTTTGCTCAGCGTTAAGCACTGTGATGCTACATGGCCAGAAATTCTTGCAGTACTAGTGAATTTCCAGATGTAGTTGATGTGTCATAGAAACTTCATAATGGTTTTAAGGGCTTTTCATACATATTTACTGGAAGTCAGCCTTTGTTTGGATAGGCCGTTCTCCCTCTTGCAGTGGAGAGACGTCTGTCCTTGTGGGAAGGACTGCACGATGGACCTGTTGTAGCCACACAGTGTGTGTCACCAGTACCAAATTTAGAGCAAATGCCCAGGTTGCATAGAGGGGCAATGAACAACGAGCCAACCTCTTGGGAACATTGGACTTTTTCTGGTTTTCCTGAAAATAATGGACTTCACTATCTATCTGTGCTGTGCTTGCGTGGCAAGTCTTGTGCTTCTGTGAGAGCCGCACAACTGGATTGTGCGTGGGCCATGAGGGACTGCGAGAAAGATAATAGCAGAAAGTGGGCTGCTGGGTTGTATAAGCACGTTCTGAAGCCTGCTCTGTTGGTGAGCTCAAATCCTGCCTGGTGTCTGATCTGGGGGTGGGGTGCAAGCTGAATTGGGTGGCTTAGTGGGCTGAGTGCAGGTGTAGCGTTGCCGTTGTAAAATACACTGTTTCGCTGCTCCCCGAAATGTGATTTTTGTAGCTCATTTCTTCTTGTGGTGGACCTTCTAATGGCAGGTGGCAATAGCGTTCGCTTCTTTTATGCTGCTGTGTTATACAGAGTAACAGCTTGTGATGGGGGCAATTTTACTTCTTTTTAAGAAGTATGTGTGCCTGTAAAGTCGTCTGGAAATCAAGAAGGATGGCCACCTGTAAAAATAGCCATGAATAAGGAGGAATGACTTATTGTTCGTGCCATTCCCAACTCCAAAGCAGATCACAAGCACGTACACCAGAAGTCAGTAATACAGGTTGGGTAATACTTTGATTTGCCTTTCTTGGAACCTGTTTCAAGCTGCAGAAATAAAGGTTGAGTTGTAAGCTTATTTTTTTTTTAAAAAAAAAAAAAAAAAGGCAACCCCCCTAAATTTTACAGTACCCGTGGAAATAGTAAGTTTTGATTAACAATAAAGTAAACATTAATTGTTCTGACTATTGAAAACACTTTTCAAAAGTAGACCTTGCAGCTTCATTGAGGAAGAAACCTCAGAACGGACTAAATAATTCTGATGCATGTTTTAAGAAAGATACTAAAACCGGGGAGTTTTTACATAGTAAAGAGCTTGAACAGATGTCTGTTGTGTACTAATTATGGGAATGGAAGGCCTTATGGACAGAGCGCATGGCTGCTTTATGCTCATGGTTACGGCTTCTGAGTCAGCTAGCAGCAGTAGTTTCTCACATTTGTAGACTAAATGTCTTCTTTTTGTTTGTAGATATGGCTCGTGGACAGCAGAAGATTCAGTCGCAGCAGAAAAATGCCAAAAAGCAAGCTGAGCAAAAAAAGAAACAAGGACATGATCAGAAGGCTGCAGCCAAGGCTGCCTTGATATATACCTGCACTGTCTGTAGGGTAAGAGGAACTGAAGACAAAGTAGTATTGTAGGCAGCTCTGCTTTCCAGTCTAGAACAGAATTTTTAGAAGTTTATATGGTGGAAGCTAAAATACTTGTTAAGTGGCTGTCTAGCTTGTTGCTATAAGCATTTGCATCTGTTATGTGACTCACTTGTACTGATAGTTGAGATATGAGAAAATCTGAGAGGTCATGTACAGATCTGTTTTGGGTAGTTACCTTGCTTTCTGAATTGCAGGGGTTTGCATGTGCTGTTAGTTTGAGTTATAAAATGTACAGAGTATGAGATCACTTCCTGTTTAATCTCCAAATGGAAACATCTCTTTGTGGTCGAACTGGCCCATCTTAGAATCACTGGTTATTGATGTTAATGTACAGAGGAAAAGTGGTGGTGCCAAAAGCATTAGTATAAGTTTGATATGCAGTAACTTGTACTAGAATAAATGACTTGACAAGAGAACAGAAACGCGAGCACTAATCAGATTATACTTTCCTTCTGGCTGGTTTTTCTGAATGTGCTCGCTTTGGAGCTGAAGGATAAACTTGCCATTTTCACTTAAACGGTCAGTCCCAGAATAGATTTGTCACTCTGAATGTCTTAAATTCCAAATTAAGGGCTGCTCACTTAAGTACTTGCAACCAGCTCCTATTCTTGTGAAATCGGGTTGTAGCAGCAATCACTTTGGGCAGTTGATGCCTGCAACTGTGTAGTAGCAATGGTCTGAGGTAGCTTGTGCCTAGTAGAGAACCAGTCTATGCCACATAACTCATTGGCCTATTGATAAACAAAAGAAATAGCTTTTGTAAAGATTTGATTCTGAAAAGGATAAACATTTATCTTTTAAGTGTTGCAAAAGAAAATGGTAAGGAGGTTGGTTTTCCACCAAACCAGCTTGTGAAGCGTAAGACCTGCAGGGAGGTTTCTAGCAAAAATAGTACCGTTGATGAACATGCCAAAACAGTGTGATACTAGTGCTTAAAAGCACCTCTCTGAGATGAAATATTCTCTCTTAATCTCCAGCTAAGCTAAGGGTGCTTCTGCACTAGAGCAGTGTCATTGAGGAGATGATTTGCTTCAGGAAAAAGACAATAAAACATAGGGGGGAACAGGTTTTGTAGTATCATTTAACTCTTGTACTGTGCATAAAGTCAAATGTCTCTCTTTAATCAGACACAAATGCCGGATCCCAAGACCTTCAAACAGCACTTTGAAAGCAAGCATCCTAAGACTCCACTTCCTCCAGAATTGGCTGATGTTCAGGCGTAAAGTTGTCTACAGGTCATTACCTTAATTTTTAAATGATTGTCTGTGAAAGGTGTACTATGAATTAGTTTTTTTACCACCATCAGCTGGGACTTAAAACTCGCTTTGTTTACTTTAATATGAAAATGAACTATAGGTTAAAGTTACACCCCCGAACTGTTACACAGGAGAAGCAAGCTGATGCTTATGTAGGTGAAATGGCTGTGGCATTTCACTGTGCCTAGAAGTTGTTCTAAAAGGGACTAATGTTATTGCGAACGGTCATCCTTTGAGTTGTAGGAATACTTTATTATTTAGTTCTTGCTTTGAAATGTTAGTTTTGCTTTGAACAAAATACATACAATAAACACAATCTGTCTGTTGCTACAAAACAACTATTTCCATTACATGTTTTGTATATTTGCAACAATTGAGCCTTTTTGTTCCTGAAGCTATGCGGGTGAATGCAGATTCTTCTGCATTCAAATATAAAACTTAACCTCTGTGTTAAACTATAGAAGAGATTTCCCAATAGCCAGTTGTTAGGCTGTAACTGAAAGTGGTTATAATAAAGGGCTGAAATGAGGTAAAAAGCAGTATTATGGTATTTTGTTCACGTAAAGGTAAACAGCATTGTGTAACAGTTCAGCTTAACTGAGTTATTCTTGTTTTTTATAGGTGAAATCATGGCACCTATTGACTCTTCTACTGTCAGACCTTACATAACAAACCTGCAGCTGCTTTTCTAAAACTGTTGATCAGCAAAAATGAAGGGGCTACAGAAACATTCATATTTTTATGCTGTTCCCTCTTGGGCTTCATGCAAAGACAATTCTGTGTAAATGTACAGTTGTGCCCTATTTGGAAATCCTGAAAAATCAGTCCATACTTGTTATAAAAAATTTTTTACAATTGTAATTATATTGATGTTCATATTGTGTAAAATAACTCATTTAATAAAGTAGTACTTTGATTTTACAATATCACAGATTAAATCCTTGTAGAAGTTCTGTTTCAACTTTCTGCATTATCTGCCTTATAAAATAATAAAAAAGACAAAGTGGAATTTTCCCCATCCTGCCAAAACGTGAGCAGTATCATTCCACTGAAAGTAATGTACATTACAGTAAATTAATCCTAAGTGAAGAGGGAAGCTGCTTGGATTTACTGTTCAGTGTGCTGCCTGCTTGAGCCCAGTCACTAGTGGTCAAGTTGTTGGCTCAAGGCGCAGCAGACTCCCTAGAAGCTGCATGAGAATCGTGAGACTTCCTTCTACTTTTTTTGTCCTGTGTATTGGAGCCTAATACTGCAAGCCATTTTGAATGGGATTCCTTTACTCTGAGGGATCATGTTCCTCGAAGTCATGCACTGGAGAGACTCTTGTTATGCTTGTTGTCCTTTATATTTGGTAGATGGCTGAGGAAGCTGAGAGGTGGCAGGATTGAATGCTTCTGGGTATGCTGGCTTGAAAAATGCTCGCAAATACTAGGTTAAAGCATCTCTGCTCTTCGTTGAAAAATTGATTCGAAAAGATTTTTAATGATATTTTGAGCAGTCAACCACACATGTTCCCCCTCAACTGTGTCTGGTTATTTCAGTAGCAACTCTTCAGGAAATATGTAAAATAGCCAGCCATTAATAACCTTTCTTCACAACCAGCTTAAAATAAGCCTGTTGGAAAAGAGCCAAAGTAACTGAAATAATATGGCTACTTTAAGAAATCAGATATGATTAAAATTGCATTGACAAGAAAAAGCTGGATAATAACTGTCTGGCCAAGAATATTTGAGCAGCTAAACATAATTACCCCTAAAGTGTTCTGGGCTCAGTTCTAATCCCAGATATACAGCACAGAAGTAGTGGAGAAACATCTGAATTGTGCTAGGAGGTCTGCTATACAGAATCCCACCTTTGGCATTTGGAGGGGGCTTATTTAAGAGCGAGCTTTAGTTTTGGCCTTGCAGTAAGAAGCAACACTAGAATTGCTGTGATTTACTGAGGTCACAAAGGATGTAAAAATCCTGGCAGTCCACGTAACCCTTGCTATGCAGCAGGACTGTACATCTGACCTTCAAATGGCTTCCTAAAATCTAGGACCGTAGTCTCAAAGACTCATTCACGTAAAAGAATGCACTTGGTATTTTATTATATAAAGCCTTTGTCTTCGTCCACTCATTTGCTCTTTATTGAACTACTTCTGTGAGACTAGCTTCCTGTCCTCTTTGCTGTGACAGTATCTCTGTAAATACTTACTTTGACATAAAGTTTCTCTGTATTATAGTCACTCCAGGATAACCTGTATACCACTTAACTTTTATAGATAATGTTGTTCTCCTCTGAGAGTAATCCACTACTGCACTTGTACACCTGACATCAGAATGTAACGCTTCATTTATTTTTCTTTAATGTTCTCAATCCATATATCCTGACAAACTGGCTCCCACAAGGCAAGAAATCTGCTCTCGACCTTTGTGCTGTATGGGGGGAAGGTACTTACATGTTCTGATGCTGTAGTTTGTCTCAAAATACGCTGAGTGCAAATGGATAAAGATGTTTCTTGCACTGATTGGTTATCTGGTAATCTGGTTTTACTTTGGAAAATGTTGCAGGATGTATCCCTATAGCTTGGTCCGGAGGTGAAGTATATGTTCTGTTCTTTCAATTCAGGTTGTGTGGCATTAAATAAAAAGATTTTGTTTCATAAACAACCTCTCTTAATGAGCACTGAAGAGCTGGAAAGCTGCATCACTAGTGGGATGGTTATCTTCAGTTAGAATTGTCTTTTCAAAACATGATGATGCTCAAGTTGAAAATACCCTATGAAATTACGGGGGGGGGTTATGTGTTAGAAGGCAAGAGTGATCCTCAGTTCAGTAGCTGCAATCTCAATTACAGAAATAAATGAAAGCTATGACTGAATTGTTACAAAGACGTTTTAAGTATAGGGGGAATGCTATACTAAATGCGGGAATCGTCCTCATTTAGAGTATCTGCAATACTCCTTGTACCTAAAGGGTGAGAGGAAGGACTAGGAGTTCTCCATCAGCTCTTCCAGATCTGAAGGATGGCACCCTGTTACCTGGCTAAAGACACAGTTGTGCATTGTAATGTGTCTGATTAAAGAGAATTAAAAACTGAACATGTAAAATGTCATATTTCCTGCCTGCTTTTAAAAACAAGTATTGCTGCACTAACAAAATTGATTTCCTGGCTGTGGACAGTCCTGGAGCTTGAAGCTGTCTCACTTTGCATAAAAGAAAAATAGGCATGGAAAGTTTCCCATGTTCCCTCGAGAAAGATTCATCTGTGCAGGGGCAGCGTTTAGGTAAAGGGTTCTTGTGTTGTCAGTATGGGCACCAGCTGTCACGGATACTTCTGGAACAACTTTAAAAAGTGATTTTGAATTTTCAGAAGCCCGCATCTCTTCTGGGAATGTCTTTAAATGGCATCTGAAATAACATTGTAAGCAGGGCTTAAAATGTTTTGAAAAAAAGTCTCACTTGAGATCCCAGAGTAAAAGTCAGCACGTGTGATTATGGTGAGGCCATCTTGGGGACTACCGAGCAATCAGGAACAATTTTGCAATTTGTATTCCTCAGCCTCACTTAGGCTAGTTTCTGTACCTCTGCTGTGCCGATCTCTAAGGGTTTCTGGTTTCTTGCTATCAAAAAGCTGTGTGAAAAATCTGAAATAGAAGTTGAAGGCAGTTGCTGTGTAGCCTTAAGGAAATAGTTGGCTTTATGCAGTGCTCTTGAAACGTCCCTGGAGATGATCCCTTTTGGTTATTTGCTGTTGAGCTGAAAACACTTCAGCTCAAGTAAAGCTAATGACCAGGGGCTGTTTGCAAACCACGTAGGGATGAAGGAATTTGTAGTGTTTCTGTAAACTATATTGAACTGTTTTCCCATCTTGATAAGAAGCACTAATAGGTGGAATTTCTTTTATCATCAAATACTGATAGGCTTGAGGTCTGTTTTGTTTCCCCTTCTCTCAGACACAAGCTGGGGAGTATTTGGCTTTAATAAAAGTGTGGTCTTCCTAACTCAATTAGTCCTGCAGAATCCATAAACAAAGTAAAGGTCAGCTTGTACTTCTGTCTCCCCAGCCCCACTGCTGTGTGTAATTTTCAGGCCTTTGATTTACCTATTTAGAACCTTACAGGTTTTGCGGTGGACTTTGAATTCAGCCCCAAAACTCAGCTTTGGACTGGTGTTCAGTATCTGATTTTCCATATTGCAAAGCATCGTCAGCGATGTTGCGCTAGTCCAGACGGTGGGAGGGTGTAAAGTTCTGTCTGTGGAATTTTGCTATCTGTTTTGAAAATTATTTGGAATTTTTTTAATGCATTCTCTATTGTGTTACGGTTTTTGTATAGATAAGGCGTAACAGAGACTCAACTGAGGGAGTTGTGTTATCTTCGTAGCTTTCGAAAAAAGGTGGAATTAGGCTGGGTGTATATTTTAAAATTCTCTTACGTGGCTTTTAGCATTGGGGTTTCTGGGAAAGGAGGAATCTGTAGTTGTCCCAACCGGCACAGCTTTCCTCTGAACAGTACTGTCCATTGCATATATAAAGTTAGGGTCCGTACAGCGCTTTGGCGGCATGGCAGCATATTTGTGTGCTCCCTGTTCATAGCTGTTACAAAACCGCAAACAGTGTGTGAAACATTGCTGGATGCTGGAGATCTTTGGGAGAAACAAGGACTAAGGGAAATCTCAGAAAGTTATTGAGTCCATCTCCTTGCTCTGAGATTGGATCAGATCTGCCAAGACTGTAACTAACAAAAGTTTCTCTAATTCTTAAAAGCTTCTAACACAAGGGATCCCATGACCTTGTGAGCAGCGTACCACTGTTGAACCGTACAACTGGAGGGTTATCACAGCAAGAGTTTATCCCCGCGAGTTAAGGCAATTACTTATTGTTCTTATTGGCAATAGATGCGATGAATAGTGCCCTCATTTGAACGTTGCTATTATGTTCTCCTCCTAGTCTTCTCTTAAGTAAACCCAGTTAAATGAATCATTCTTTGTAGGTCGCTTCTAAGCCTAGTGATTGTTGCTGCTCTTCTCTGGATCCTCTCCAGTTTGTGCTCTTAAATCATACGGTCCAAAATATGACCCAAAGTTCTGGCTGAGGCTAGTGCAGAGTAGCTGGAACAATTAGCTTCTGCCACTTGCATACATTAGTGCTATTAACGCACACTGGAATTATATTTGCCTTTTTGCAACAGCATCACATTGACTCGTGTTCAGCTCCGGGTCTGCCAACATCCCAGATCCATTTTGGTACCACAGTAATCTCCATTTTGTGCCTACGTGTCAGTGTCTGCATGTCTGTCTCTAATGGATCTCAGACCTAATTTATCAGGATACCAGCATTCTAGACCTTTCTTCTATGCTGTTCACAGTTCATCCGAGTATGGCATCATGGGGAAGTCCTGCAGATGTCCTCTTTTACTCTATAGTCAGAGTTGTGCATGAACACACTGAATGGGATAGATCCCAGGCAAAGCCTTGCAGGACCCTGCTTGAGTATCTTCCCAGGTTCCCATTAAGCCTTTGGTAATTGCTTTTTGAGAGCATTTTGTACCGCTGTGATTCTCCTTATGGTCGATACGGATTGGAGCCACCTATTCCACCTGTGAGGCCTTCACAGAATGACAGTGTCAAAGACCTTTACAGCACCAGGGAGGCTTGGGATCCTGCGTGCCTGTGGCCACCAGGCCAGTTTTCAAGAAGGAATGGATGGCACGGGGGTTGTTCCTGACAAATCCATGTTGGCTGGCTGTTGCTGGCTTACTTTTCCATACGCATTTACAAATAGGATTTTATAAAAATTATTCTAGCATTTTTCCAGGTTTAGGGTGACTGTCAGAGTCCCCTGTTTCTTTCTAAATTCTTTGTGCTTGTCCCACTGCTCTCTTGGAGTCTTCTGTGCTCTGTGGGTTCTCAAGGAGCAATGCTCATGGTCCACAGTGACGTGG